TAAGGTCCCAAAGTTTCAACCCCATCATAACAAATACTATTTGTTTCTATTTCTCAGTTTGCTTGTTTCTTCTGATAAGAGGGTGAAGAGTGCTACTTATTTTGAATACTTAAAGAAGTGAACAATCAGACAAAAGGAAAAAAAAAAAAAAAAAAGGAGTGAACTAGAAAGAAAAACAGCAAACTCGTACCGACGTATAACATTATTATTAGTACTTGGGTTTGCGAGAATTAAGTGATAATGAATTTTGTCCTCATTTTAAAAAGATCAACTTTCACGCCCCAACTCGGGACGTGCATACTGATGAGTATTTGTCATTTGAAAGGAAAAAAGAATTAAAAAAAAAACTCATAATGAGAAGACAAATGTAAATGGCAGAGGAAGCAGAGATGGGTCCTTCACTAGTGTTTGGAAGAGCATTCAAAAGGTTTACAGCTATGCAATAGGGTCATGATGATTTGATTTCTTGCAAAAATAATCCTTTTATAGCTTGAGAAACCTGTCCAATAAAGAGGGATGGGCGGGGACGAGATGAGATATGAGCAGAGAGCTTCAAGATTTACGTGTCTGATATGGGTGGGGGGGTGTTTGGATAAACATATAATTGAGAAGATTCCCTCAAAAGTTTCTCTTTATCTTTATCAATTATTTGGATCCTCGAAAGTTGAATCCTGTGTGAGGTGATACCTATAAATACGATTAATAATCATGTGTTTAAAGATATTTTTTAATATCAAAAATTAAATATAGATAGTATAATATTTAAAATTAGTTATTATTTATGCTTGAAAATAAAGAGTAACAAAAAAAAATCAACAATAAACATAATTTTATTTACACCCAAAATTCAATCACAAAAGAAGAGTTAAAGAAATTTAAGTATCGGTTGTAATGGCAGTAAACAGTGGTAGTGGTGGCGGTGGGAGACGATGATAGTTGTTGTTGATGGTGACGACCATAGTGCTAGTGATAGCCATGGGTGGCAACGGTGATGATGATGGTGGAGCAACGACGCTGGTTGTGGCGGTGGGTAGTGACGATAATGGTGGTAGGCGACGACAGGTGCTTCTAGGTAATAGTGTGATAGGTTGTAGCAAATGATAGTGGTGGTAGGAGTGGGTGACGGTGGCTGGCGGTAGTGGTGGACGATGATGGATGGTGGTGGTAGGTGTGGTGGGGGGTGAGTGATAAGGACTAGCAACGATGATGGGCGACTATGGGTAGTGGTGGATTGTTGTAGTGGGTGGTGACGGTGGGCGACGGTTGTAATAGGATGATAGTGGTAGTGATAATAAATATAAAAATGCGATGATAATAGTGGTGGGTGGTGGGGGGTGACAGTGGGGCAGTGAGGGTGGGGTGGGAATGGTGGTGAGGCAGTGACAGTGGTAAGGGGGAGGGTGATGTTGGGGCAATGATAGCGATGGTGGTGGGGCTGTTGCGATGGTGATGGTGGGATAGTGAAGGTGGCAGGAGCAGTGGTGGTGGCGAATGCGAGGATGATGGTGAAATAGTAATAGTGGTGGTTATTTTGGCAGAGGTGGTGGCGGGGTGGCGATGGTGATGGTGGCGGTGGTGGTAGTGGTGATGGCGAGGGAGACAGTGGTGGTGGTTGGACTATAAGGGGGTGGTAGTGGTGATGGGGTGGCAACAGTGGTGGTGGCGACGATGATGGTGGTTGTTGTTATGACAAAAGTGGTGGTGGCAGCGACGACGATAATGGTTATTGTTGTGGCAAAGATGGTGGTGGGGTGATGACGATGGTTGTGGGGGTAGTTATGATGTTGAGATGACATTGGTGGTAGTAGTGGTGATGGTGGTGGGACAATTGGGGGGGGGGGGGGTGAGGCGATTCCAAACATTATATTTTTTTTAAAAAGTACTTATGAGAAATTATAAGTTCTAGAAGTATTTTTAAAAAATTATCTCAAATATATCCTTAGGAGTCTATTTTTCATATTAAATTTGGGATGTTAATATTAACCTTCAGATTAACTTTAAAGTAAAATTTAAAGAGATCTTAACCGCAAAAAATAAAAGTCATTTTGTTTATTTTTTGAGATTTGAATTGTATTGTACTTTATTATATAGATTTATTTATTTTTCTTTAATCATACAATTTAAAATTAAATGAACAAAAAAGTAAAATAAGAAAGAGGTAGGAGAGAGAGAAGAGAGAGAGAGAAGAGAGGTACAACTATAAATTCATGTGGTTGTTTGACATTGAGATTGATGAATAATATTTTTTAAATGAATTTTGTATCATTAGATCAAAATAGATAAAAATTGAATCAATGTTGACAATTGTTGTGCTTATATAAGTTGAGAATTCAACTTTCTAACTCTAATATTAAATAGGATGTGTGTGTGTACACTAAAGTGTAACAATGAGAGGATTAACCATTTGAGATGAAAAAGATCCCCATTTCTTTTAAAATTTTAGCATTTAACTTTTTTACAAATTAAAAATATACTAAATACATAGAAATGGAGGAGAGAGAGAGAGAGAGAGAGAGAGAGATTGATTTATTTCTTCAACTTGTTATTTTATCAAAAATAGTGGTTTCTGACATTACATCATTTTTTTTTTTTTAATTATGAACGGATTTGGGTTTAGTTGTGAAATTACAACCCATTATGTTGAAGTTTTATGAGAAAATAGTGTGTCATTGAATCAAATCATGCATATATAATTATCATTCTCCATATCATATCCAAAGTAATTCCAAGCTTTGAATAGTGACATATATATATGATACACTAATTTCTTTCACCCATGCATGAATTGACTTGTACTCATTAACAAGCTGATCACTATTTTCATAATACTCGAGCAGTAAAGAGAGTCCAGATAAAAGAAAGGGATTGCTATAAAATATCGGATTGATGCTCCTTCATATCTACATAATAAACATATCGAAAAGAGTTTGACTACATACTTAATTACATTGCGAAAATTGATTATTCACGACTATAAATATGTCATATATGACTTGAGTACATTTTGAAATGAGACAAAATAAATAGATATAGTTAGATAGAGCTTGGTATATGCTCGAAAACAAGGGATAATTAAACTATGGCTCATACAAGTTCCATCATGTGTAATATTATTGTAACCAATAGACACCCTTCATGTGTTGACCTTAAACAAAGGCACAAAATATAAAAGGAAAACAAGCTCCATCCAACTTTTAGAATGGAAGCATTCATCACTACACCAATTTGGTAAGAAGAGATTTTTACAATAAATAAGCATATATATATAGAGAGAGAGAGAGAGAGAGAGATTTGCTGGATTTGTCCCTAGTGGTGGTTTCTATAGAAAGCCTTCCTACCAATGCAAAGTAGATTTTTTGTAATGTCTAAAATCTCAATCCACCCAGAGAGGAAAGATATACATGTGATGTAGCTTTGGTAGCCATCCCATCATTCCACACTTCTAAACAACGGGAAAAAATCCAAAGTGAACTCGGTCAGACAGTACTGTTCATGTATGGCAACCAACCTTTTTGGACATAAAAAGCATAAGGTGCGTGAAAAACTAGATAGATACTGTTACTCCACTGGAAATTTGTCATTATCACCCACTCTCTCTCTCCACCTTTCATCATTTGCAATTTTGCCAATAAGCAAACCCGAGCAGTCAAAATTATGCCCGGCAATTGTCGAGTAAAATGAGTTTGTGTTAAAATAAATTTTATTTATATTTTATTTATTTATATAAACGAGTTTAACTATTGTATTCATATACTAATTATTTATTAGACGGGTTATTCGTGTGTCATCCGCTAAATAAAAAAATAAATTAGAGTATTTCGAGTTCACGCAAAAAATCATTAACTCATTACACATTACACATGTATGACCTGTTTATTATAATAATGAATTATGGCTAAACAAAAAAATAAAGACAAAAAATAAGCATTAAATAACTACTAAATTTGAATGAGTCTGAAACGAAACCGGTTCGTTTATTTCATGGGTCTGATGAGTTAACCGGTTAATCATCTAAATCCGTTAAGACTACACCAAAATCTGCTAAATTCGTATTGAATTTGTGTCGATTTCACGAATTGTGTTTAAAATTGTTAGGCCTAGTCAAAACACAACAACGGAGAAAAGGATTTTTGAGTTGGGATAATGTTATTTAAATTTAATTAATTAATTTAATTTAATTTATTATAATTTTTAGATTGACGATAAATTTCATAAAATAGTAAAATTTTAATACTAATCCAACGGTTATAGTTATATCAAATCAATATATCAATAAATTAAGTTGGATCTCTAAGTTTAAATGGTGCAGAAATCATTCCTAGTTGATTTTTGAGAGCTTCGAAAACATTTTCTCTAATTTTCTCCAAACTTTGGGCATAAACTTGGCTAACATTTGTGTGCGGATAATGCCCTGTTTTGCTGAACATTTTCTTAAGCTACATTTTTTTTTTTAACGGCAAGAAATGTTTGGAGTTAATTTATACATACTTTAATTAATCAATCATTTACGTCGAGATTAAGATATTCATAAAAAATAAATTATTCATAACTTCACATAAAAAAATTACTAAAATTTGACGACTGAATTTATAAATTTTTTTTATTACTACTTAAGCTACCGTCTTAGTTGTTAACCCACTTCTTTGAACCTTTCCTTACCTTCATCAATATTAGGCAAAAATGGTACTTCACACAAAGTATGGATCAATTCCACAAATTTAATCTGGACGCTCCCCCAAAATGGAGAGAGAGAGAGAGAGAGAGTTGACGTGTATACGGCAAGCATGGACAGAAACTAACACATTTCTCTTCCCCCCCAAACACTGTACAGTCGGGTCATTGAAGAGGCAACACAGACCGAGAAGGGGGTGGGGGAGAGAGTCTTATTAGCCCTTCAAACAAAAAAGAAGAGCACTAGAAAAAAAACAAAAAAGAAGAGTTCTAAAAAGAGAACAAAAAGAGTAACAAAAGATACACACACACACGCATAAATTGAAACACTAGTAGTTCCACAACAAAGATTCAAAACTACTAGAAACAACACTCTCCGGCGACGACATCTGATCGGAAAAGCCCCCACTTTCTTCCACACACTTCAACCATGGAGGAGGATAAAGCCACCCATCAACAGAGTCAACATAGACAAAGTCACTATTCAACTCCAGCGAGTCAAAACTCGTCCCTAGACTCGGCAACACAACGATTTCACTTAATTCCTCCGAACTTGACAAATCATTAGCCGAAACCAGTGATGACAGTGAAGAAGACGATAATGGAGACTCGAACTTGTCCATTGCAGCTGCTTTAGCTGCAGCGGCTTGAACGTCACGAGGAGAAAGAGTAACAGGCCGAGGCAAAGACGCAGCGAGTTCAGGAAAGTTCAGAATCGCTGAGTTACCCTTGATGTTCAATGCAGCTACGTCATGAGCTCGAGCTGCCATTTCTGGCGTAGGGAAAGTACCGAGCCATATCCGAGATTTCTTGCGAGGTTCACGAATTTCAGAAACCCATTTGCCCCAGTTTCTCATCCGGACACCGCGATAAACTGGGTTTTTGCTACTGTCTCGGAGTTTCTTGATCTTCTTGGCTTCTGGGTTTCGTGGGTTTGGTTGGTTTAACGACTTTGAGACTGAGTTTGGAGGTGACTGAGTTAACCCAGATGAGGATGGTGAGGATGAAGATGATGAGAATGAGCTCTCTGATTCTGATTGGTGAGGTTCAGGACTCATTGTTGAAGGTGACCCAGGTGATAATTCGTCAGGACAATCAAACCCAGTTATGATTTATATGTACAGGGGTGTCAATAAGTAGGTTTTTACTAAATTGACAACGGTAGTAACACAGATGAGTTGAGACTAGTTCTGCACAGGTTAGCAGGCTCGGAGAGAGATTTGGTTATTTTTGGGCCGAGGGGGATGTATTTTCAAGCAAAATGGAGGAAGTAAGCTATGAGAATTACTGGAATGTTTGTGAGAGCAATGAAAGGATATTGGTGTTGAGGAGATGGAGAGAGAAAGAAGGGATCTGGCATGCACATTCAGAGCTACCCTTTTGATCAACCAGGCTTTTTCCCCTCGTTTCCCAATGACTCATACAACACTTATCAGAGAGAGAGAGGGAGAGGGAGAGAGAGAGCAGGGGGCGATGGGTCACCCTAGTAGACCCTATGATACAAGGGGGTCTCTTTCTCTAGTACCACACAACCCCTGTTGATTTCAACTTCAATACCTTTCTAGTTTCACCCCAAGTTAACACTGTTCATTCTTCCATTATCATGGCAGCAGCCCCATTCTCTCTCCTACCTGCACTAATATAGATATATCTATATTTATATATTGGGTGTAGGTGTGTATATATGCAATTGTTTAGTTTGGTGATCACCCTCTCTTGTCCTTTCTAATTATCTATAGACCTTCATAATCAAGTTTTGTTTTGGTCTTGTTTGGTGGATTAGTCTTTATTTTATCTTTTGTATGAGGTGACAGCCATGGAGTAACAGTAACTTCACGCTATCTAATGGATCTAGCATTATAATTGTAATTGGGGGTTTTAATTGTAATTCAGTTTCACAATTTTGTGGTCGACAATGATTTGGTCCTAATATGAAGCAAGATAACAACTTGAAGATTTCAGCTAATGGACCCATTTAGGGAAAAGTCTGCAATGCTACAGATAATATTTCTGTATTTTTGTGTCTGACAAGATTCTTTTTCTTGAAAGGGACTTTTTTGTTTTTTTGCCAGTAAAAGAATTTTATTTTGGGAAAAAAATAAGATATATAATAAAATTCACATACCCACCTTAAAGCCAGATTGAGCATGCCTTTAAGGATGATGGGTATAAGGAGAGCGATCCAATATCTTGATAAAAATCATGTTTGATTAAACTTGTTAATTGCTGGATTAAACTCTTGACCCGTAGTTGAATTAGATTGACATGTGGAAATTTTAGTCAATTACATGAGAATTTTTTAATTATAATTGTGATTAGTCCATGAGTCCTACATATGTTTTTTTATACTCACCAAACAAATGATTGTAAATAATTTATGTGCAAATCCCATGAACCAAAAGTGGGTTGAGTTTGGGAAGGTTTAGTAAAATCAATCCAATCCTCCTACGTCAATATCCTCCAAACATTCCCCAAAAGAGTTATTTATGACATACCCTCTTCCTATAGGTATAAACACCCAAAAGAGTTGTAGAAATAAACCTTTGCTGTTTCTAATAAAAAGAATAATATGATCAGGGCAAAAAAAAAACCCAAATTCTCTTACTACTTGAGGGATTAAGTAAATATCCTAAGAAGGTTTTGTCTTCCTAAGCCTTGGTTTGATGTTATATTGTTAACATGATCACTTCGTATCATCGATTAATAATTAATTTGTTTGTAATTAGTTTAAATAGATAGATTTTAAGAGTTTTTAAGTAAAATAAGTTAGGCCTGTTTAGACTTTGATTTTTTTATCAACTTATGTAACACATTTTTTTACCTAAAAAAATTATTTAGACTGATTTAAGAAGCTAATTTTATGAGCTTTTTCTTCTGACTTTTTAGAGTTTTGTCGTGAGTCCCATATAATTTTTAAGTTATTATATTCATAAAATATTATTAGTGAGTAAAATAATTTGAAATTCATATTTTGAGAATTATTATGCATAATCTCTTTCTCTTTTTAAACAGATTTTTTTTTTACTTTTTCAACATTTTAAAAAACACTCTAAACAATTTTTGGGGACTTTTTTAACTCTGTTTTTTCAACAAAATTTTTCAAACCACAACTTTTCATCTAAAAATATTAGTTTCAAACGGGCCCAAATGTGGAAATAAGATAATGGACCTCATATAAATCAATATCTATCTGTCCATGTAAACCAATAACATTGAAATTTAATATTAATTCAATTATTACAATAAAATTATATTATTAAATACATAAATAAATTAAATTTTTTAGTTCTAACTAATGCTCCGTTTAGTAGGGAGGATGAAAAGTAGGAGAGATACATTTTCTATCCTTCAAGGATGGAAAGTAAGAAAAATACACTTTCTTTCCTTTGTGTTTGGTTGGATGGATGAAAAATAAAAATGACTTTTTTTTTTTTTTTATGCTGGCTAAGATTAGGGGTAACAATCGAGTTGTGTCGTGTCAGATTCGTGTTGAGTCATTACGGCTTTGTTTTGAATATTAGTCAAATCTAACTTAACTCATTTAACTAATTGTGTCGTGTCAAATTACGAATTAACCTGTTTATTTTTGTAACGAGTTCGAGTTGTGTCATTGTATTGAGTCAAAAATTTTCACTCTCAGTTAAGATGGAAAAAAAAATTATTATTTATTTAATTAATTTTTAAAATTTTTTAATATATATATTTTACCATTGTATTTTTATATAAAATTAATGTATACATAATATATGTATATATAAAAAGATATATAGACAAATAAGATACATCTCAACAAAAATAGTTAACTTTTCATCCACTTTCCTTCCGATTTTAGAGAGATTTATTTTGGTGAGTTAGAAGGAAAGTTAATTCATCCATTTTTCCATCCTTCCTTACCAAACATGATGGTTTATTTATCTCTCTGACTTTTCATTCTTTCAATTTTTCACCCTTCCACTTTTTCATCTTACCAAACGGAGCATAATATTATTCGCATATTTATCTAGACATTCATCGACGTGAAAAGGAACGGTCCTATATAAGAAATTGATGCACACCATGGAAAACAATTATCAAACCACAAAATGACAAAAGTAGGTGAACTCCATATGATTTTACATATGCCAGATAAAGATGAGACATTTTTCAACCAAATGATCTGGCAACAATGTGGTTTTAATTGATTTGCGAAGAAATTAATGCTAAGTCCCATACTTGTACAAAAATAGAAAGAGACATAAAGATTGATAGTGTAAGTATGATATAATTTGAGGAATTAATATATTGTAACTATTAGATAAATAATAAAAATTATTTAATGTTGACAATCACCTATAATCTAGTAGTCTCTCAAAATTATGTCCAACGATTATGTTCGAGTAAGATTGTCTGTTTGTTTTTTAATCGTTTAAAAAACTTGTCCTACTCTCATGAACCATAGGGGTAGCCCACTGGTGTGAAGCTAATTTCGGGAGCTCTATATACCCGAAAAACTTAGGTTCGTCTCTCATTGATGTCTCTTGAACTTAACATGTACTTGTGATTTGTAGATAGGGTTAATAATCGAACGAGCTTAAAAATTTGTTTTCTAAACAAGCAGAATCTAAAACGAGTCGAATCCGAATCGAGTCTACCTAATTTGTCGAGCTCGTTTTTTAAATGAGTCTAACAAAATGTTCAAATTCGACTCATTTAAAAAATGAGTGGAACTTGAATGAGCCCAAAAAAAAATCCAAACCAAACTTGAGGAATTCGAATCGATTATAAGCACTATTTGCGGATAATTGTAACATATTGAGATTTACGCTCATAGGGATGGTTTCAAAAGAGCTTTAGAAAAGTTCGTCCTCATAAAAAAAATTATAAACATATTTCTCAATAAATTATAAATTAGATGGGGTCAGTGTGGTGGTTGCATTGATCTCCAACCCTCAGCCACGTGGCTAGCTAGCTAGCATTGGTCACATCTCCTCTGGGTCCCAAACACTCGTGGCTCATTTATTAATTAATTATAATAAATGACCTTACCCTACGTGTTAAACGTTATTTTCCTCAAGCAAAATCAAGGGTCCCTTCTTACCCAATAATCTTAAAATCCGTATAGATACGGATCTTGATATATCATATCATCATAATTGCTTTCGATTTTATTTTCAATATAATTTGTTTTTCATTGTTGGTGTTGAAATTTCTTGAACGCAGAGGCAAAACGGAAACGAATTTGTTCAATCAAATAGCGCATGTAATAAATAGAAGTGAAAGAGTCTTTTGTTTTAACTCGCGAAAGGAGCCACCACAGTTGTATGCACAATGATTACTACCGATTCACATAAAACCAAAAATATAAGTGGATATTCCATCATACCGACTTGAGATGTGAAAAGTGATATAAATTAAATATAGAATTTTGTATATATAATCAATGAAAATTATAATAAGGATAAAAAAAGTAAAAAGAGAAAACTTAATAAGCTCTAATAAACTAGGTTGCTGCTATATCTCTAACACTCCCCTTCAAGTTAGGTGCAGAAATATCAACTAAACTAAGCTTGACAACAAAGTCTCGAAAAATGGATAGAATGACAGGTTTGATAAAAATATCTGCAATCTGATCATTGGTCCTCACAAATGATGGAATGATAATATCACTGCTAACCTTCTCCCGAAAAAAATGAATATCAATTTCTATATGCTTCGTCCTCTCGTATAATACAGAGTCAGAAGCAAACTGAATAGCAGAGCGATTATCACAATATAATATAGATGAAGAAATCACTGAAAATCTCAACTCACCAAGAATCGATCGTAGCCAGATAATCTCATATGTGTCAAGTGCCAGTGCCCGATACTCTGCCTCTGCTGACGAGCGAGAGACAACTGACTGCTTTTTGCTCTTCCAAGAGATAAGATGAGTCCCTCGAAAAGCACAGAAGCCTGTAGTAGATCGACCATCACATGCTCCCCCATAATCTGAATCTAAATAACATGCTAGAGAACCAATCTGAGATCCTGATGCATAGAACAACCCAAGTCCAAGACAAGACTTAAGGTACCGAAGAAT